AAATTGGCTCTTCCAGAACCTTCAATTAATTTTGTACTATCGGATATTGTATTAACATTGGCTTCTTTCATTATCAAATAAGAGAAATATCTCTTATCTCTTAAAATAGTGTGTGTTGTAGCACTATCCAGAAGACATATATCATCTTTATTAATCTTGAGTCCAACTGAAGACTGGAAAATTTTCATATTCTTCATAAAAAAAAAAAATCAAAAAATACATTATAAGAAATATGAAAGACAAACAAAATATATATTAAAAAATACATTAGGAATATAGAAACTAGCAATATATGATACATTAGGAAAATACACTTAAGAAAAATAAACTAGTTGTAAACATAACAAAATGACAGCTTTTATTATAACTTCATTCCCAGTAAGATGATTAGTTCTTCAGTCAGTATCCTCAAAGAAGTCTCCAACTTCTAAATGAGTAATATTTGCTAGGCCTCCAAAATCATCATCTTTATATGCAAGATGTGCCTCAGAATTATATTTGTTTGAGAGACCTGCTTCATCATCATTATTTTGAAAGGTCAAGTGTGCCTCCACATTATTTTCTTTCTTTCTAAGAGAGGCTTGATAAAGTTTGACAAAATAATCTGGCGTACGACAAATGCGTGCCCAATGACCTTTCATACCACATCGGTGACACATACTAATTTNAACCGGTCATGCCAAATAATAAAATTATCTTGATTAGTAAACTTTTTATTTACTATGGCATGCGTTTCAATCTTGCTAATACTTGTGTAGTATAAGCCGGAGGAAAGAGCAGTTAACATTTCAAGCACATATTTTTTACCAGACANCATACTAATTTTACCTTTTGAAGGATTAATTTGAGAACCCTTATTGTTCTCCTGTTTATTTTCATCATAATGACGATAATTGTTTCGTCCCCTGCCACGTCCATGTCTACGACTATATCCACGACCACGGTAATTATTTTGTTTTCTTTCAGACTTATCATATGCTGCTACAGCATTCACTTCCGGGAATGGTGCTGACCCAGTGGGACGGGCTTCATGATTTTTCATTAATAGAGTATTATTCTGCTCTGCCACAAGTAGGCATGTGATTAACTCAGAATATTTCTTAAAACCCTTTTCACGGTATTGCTGTTGTAGCACCACATTTGAAGCGTGAAAAGTAGAAAATATTTTTTCTAATAAGTCCTCATCTGTGATAGTGTCTCCACATAATTTTAATAGAGAACTTACTTTAAAGATAGCCGAATTATACTCACTTACGGTTTTAAAGTCTTGCAACCTTAAATGTATCCATTCATACCAAGTTTTCGGTAATACCGTAAGTTTTAGGTGGTCATATCGATCCTTCAAATTAATCCATAACTCAAGTGAATCTTTTACAGTTAAATATTCAGTTTTTAACCCTTCATGTAGATGATGACGAAGGAAAATCATGGCCTTCGCTTTATCCTGATTTGATGCTTTATTTTCTTGTATAATAGTATTTCCAAGACCTTTAGCGTCAAGGTGAATTTCAGCATCAAGGACCCATGATAAATAATTCTTTTCGGTAATGTCTAGTGCCACGAATTCAAGCTTTGACAAGTTTGACATATTGAAACTAATCACAAAAGTAAATGGGTTAGAACAAATAAAAATAATTTTCAATAAAAATATACTTGTAAAAGTAAATCAGACAACTAATTAAGAAGTTGATCACTTCAAACATGTAGTATAAAAAAAAACATATAATATATATGTCAAATAAACAAGAATTATGGAGTACATGAATAAACACAAAGAGATATATTTAGTATGGTAAAAGAAAAGTAATTTATTATAAACGTGGATTTGAGGAATAACCATATACGGTGATAAGAGTGAATGTATTCAAATATTACTTTCCATCAATTGTAAAGTAATTTAAACTAGTATGTATAATAATTACTTTGTCACATTGGTTATCACTATTTTATTTTTGTAGAATGTCTTGAAGATAAGTTTTGCTCTACGCAAGTCCACACATATTTATTAAATTATTTTTGTTAGTTTAACGCACTTAAGATCTATATCTTATATTTTCTTTAATAATAAGCAAGGTAAGAGAACTTTAGTAACATGATCAACTAAAATAAATGCTTGACAGTATATGAATTTGTTAATAAATAGCATATTGGTGCATATATATTACCATAAACTAAAAGAATATATAGTGATATACCTGAAGGAGAATCGAATACAACTAGGATGTGATTGTGAAAATGAAGGTGACAATCTTGCTGATAACGTGTTATAAATATAACTCAAAATAACAATATCGAACAAGAAAAAATAAGCTAAGAGATATAGAGAGAAAGAGATGAAGAGAGATTCTTATTTCTTTTTCAATTATGTGTTTTTCCTATTTATTATAAGGCCTTTATATAGGCATGAAAAGTGAATAAAAATATGTCATTGAATATGTCATTAAGCATAGAAATATGTCATTAAATATGTCATTAAGCATTTGAGAAGATCATGGAGAAATATTAGACATCCAACGTAATTTGATTTCTCTTATAACATAAAATATTCAATAAATTTTCGAACGTAAAAGGAGTTTTCGTTTCACATTACTTTTTTTACAAATATTCTCGAGAAAGGTATTAGATGACTGTAGGGTATCTGTCATGTAAAAATAGAATTAAAACGTCATATTTCAACCTTATTATCTCGTTAATCGTATCATGCTTTAACATACTCTTAAAGAAAACTTGATTGATTTCTTTTTTAAATCTCTCCCAAATTAGAAAATCTAAAAACTTTATAACAGAAAAGTAGTTAAGTCAATTTTTGAGGGAAAAAAAAGCATACAAAATACAGTAAAGAGGTGGTCAGTGGTCACAATCATTTATAAAAGCTCCCTTGAAAATTCGGAAGAAAGGAGGTGTCAATTTATTATTAATCCCATTAGTGGGCAAAATTGTCAATTGACACCTAATAAAGCACCGAAGTAAAATGCAGCTAAAAAGTTAATGGGGGTAATATTGTCATTTGCTAATTAAGCTTTTTATGTTATCGTCCGCTTTAAATGCAGCATCCTCATTTCGTCTAACTCACTCTCAGCTTTGCTCAGCCATTTTTATTGCTAAGCAACTGATATTCGAAAATACATTATACAGTTCTATTATACATTCAGATCAGATAGATTTTTCTGTTTCTGAACACAGAAACATTCATCCAATTCACATATACAAGGTTAGCTTTCTACTTGCTTAAATTATGCTTCGAATTTCTCGACCTTCTTCGTATTTCATTTACAGTTTTTTTTCTTCATATTTTTAGCAAATTATCTATCTTCTTGATCCTTTTATTTGAATTCTTTGATATTATCAGAGTTCTCGGGTCGGTTTTTTCATATGAAAATATTTTCCAAAATTTGTTTCTTTTACGATATCTTCTTTTGAGAAGAAAAGAGAAAATTGTCTTGATTTGGTTGGTGGATGTTGTTGTTCTATTAAACACTTTTTCCAAATTAAACAATATTACCTCCTTCTTTCTAATTTCGTTATAATTTATGTGAACCTGTTTCACTATACACGAATTTTATAAAAAAATAAATTTGTGGTCCTAAACAATTTAAAAAGGGACCCAAATTATTTGTGTGATTACACAAACAATGAATTTGTGTAAGTTCAAAATTGTTTTCAAATTTAAAAAGATGTCATTTTTTTTGGAACGAACCAAAAAGAAAATAAATTCACATAAACTATATAAACTGAAACGGAGAGAGTAATATTTAGTAAACTTACTTCTTTAAAATTGACACGTCTTAGTGAAAATCGTAGCTCCCAACTTTCACCTTTGGGCTTTGAGTAGCTGCATTATCAAATTCCAGGAGGGAGTAGGAGATGAAGAAAGAAATATAATTGGATAAGATTGTTACGGTGATATAGGAATTTTATGTTTGAATTAGCTTCTTATTTAATTCCAAGTAAATTCTAAATTTTCCATTAGCAGAGATTTAATAAAAGTAGACTACTTTCTTTCTTTGAATGAATTTTAAAGATTTTCTTTGAGATCCTTGGGTTCTGTTTCGTTTTTCTGTTAAAATTTAGACAACACTAGTAAGCATTAGTAGCTGAATACTTAAACCTGAGATAGTTGGATTCTGTTTTCTCAATTTATTTTAATCCATGGATTAATTTTTGATTAATAGATAATTGAATCACTACTATCCCCACCTCGTCCCAGTCTTTTCATCAAATCTTTTATTAGCTATTTTAATTTACCTATCAAAAGAGGTACAATTTTGATGCAGTGAGTTTATCTCAAGAGGGCAAATTCTAATCTTAAATTTCGTTTTGTTTGTCTTATTACAGGTTGTTTTCTTGATTTACAAAAGAGGGAATTTTTTTTCTCTTCCTCTTAATCAACTTCTTTGAGTAGCAATTGATGGGGTCTCTTGCGGAGCCAGTCATGGAAGAAAATTACAGCAAACCCCCAGGAATTAGGTTTATGGAGAGGGCAAAGAAGTCAAGTCTCTCTTTCAAAACATATCAAGCCATAGTCCTAATTGTTACTTTTTTAGCATATGCAAGTTATCATGCTACTAGAAAAACTACCAGCATTGTTAAAAGTGCACTTGATCCCCAATCCCCTGAGGTGGATAGCTTAAAGCTTCCGTGGCAAAGGCATACCACTCAAGAAAGTTCAAGACTTTCTTGGATGCTTAAAGATGGTTGGTTGCCATTTAACGGACCCGATGGTACGGCTATGCTCGGTCAACTTGATGTGTCTTTCCTTTTTGTATATGCCATGGGAATGTATTTTTCTGGGCACGTTGGCGATAGGATGGATCTAAGAATATTTTTGACAATAGGAATGGTGGGAACTGGTTTATTCACTGCACTTTTTGGAGTTGGATATTGGGCAAATGTACACATCTTTTACTACTATCTAATAGTCCAAATGATGGCTGGATTGTTCCAATCAACTGGTTGGCCTTCAGTCGTCGCAGTTGTTGGGAATTGGTTTGGGAAAAAGAAGAGAGGACTTATAATGGGTATTTGGAATGCTCACACCTCCATGGGAAACATTACGGGTTCTTTGGTTGCTTCAATCTTCTTGAAGTATGGATGGGGTTGGTCAATGGTTGTTCCTGGTAGCATTATTGCTATCATTGGCGTGCTGGTATTCCTTTTTTTGCCAGTTCATCCCGAGTCTGTCGGAGCAAGTAATGATGAAGATGAAGTGTTCTCTCCTAGAAAAGAAGGCGAGGAAGTAACAGAGCCTCTTTTGAGATCAGATAGAGAAGAGGAATCAGCCGTGGGTTTTATAGAAGCATGGAAGATTCCAGGGGTTGCACCTTTTGCTCTTTGCCTTTTCTTTGCCAAGTTGGTAGCATACACATTTTTGTATTGGCTGCCTTTCTACATTAGCCATACAGGTATGCTAACTGTTATGCGTTTATTACGACAGATTTGCAGTCTTTTTATATCAGTATATTTTATCACCATATTAGCTGAAAGTTTCTATGATTTCTTTGTATCCTTTGATATTGCTGCAGCTATAGATGGAAAGTATTTGTCCAATGAGGAGGCTGGAAACTTGTCGACGTTATTTGATGTTGGAGGGGTAGTAGGTGGAATCCTAGCAGGTTACATATCTGACCGCTTAGACGCTAGAGCTATAACCGCTGCCAGCTTCATGTACTGTGCTATCCCGGTTCTCTACTTGTATCGGAGCTATGGACACGTCTCCATGACCATAAACATCATCCTCATGTTGATCACCGGAGTGTTCGTGAATGGGCCTTATGCATTGATAACAACTGCTGTTTCGGCTGACCTGGGAACACATAGCTCTTTGAAAGGCAATTCACGGGCGCTTGCAACTGTTACTGCCATTATTGATGGCACAGGCTCAATTGGAGCTGCCATTGGACCACTGCTAACAGGTTACATATCAGCTACGAGCTGGAGTGCTGTTTTTACAATGCTCATGGGAGCAGCTTTTATAGCTGGGCTGCTTCTAACCAGGCTTGTTGTAGCTGAAGTCGGTGCAAAGATTCATCAATTAGGGTCCCAAGGATCACCTAGATCAAGGTCCCCTGACCTTGAAGTGTGAAACCAAATGGTAATTCTTTTATTGCTTTCTGTGAATGCATTTCCAAGCCTCAATTCGGATATTAGCCTCCGATCACAGAGATTTAGAGGTGAAGATGCTAAAATCTAAGTCAAGATTTCAGGTGGCATCTTGTATAAAGTCAAGAAATGAGAGGGTTTTATTATCCTTCTCTGTAGTGTATGGGAGTGAGATTAAGAGGGGGAAAAACTGCTGATCACTCCCATGATAATGAAATACCATTTCATTTTCACATGTACATTCTTGTGTGCCAAAAAAAGGATCAAATACAGCATTTAGTGTAGTGGGAGCCTGGGTTATTGAGAGTTTTGTACATCATTTTTTTTTGGATTGAATAAAGCCAGTGCATCCTCCCAAAAGTTTTAGACTATGAATTTATTTATTTATTTATTTATTTTTAATTTATATATCTTTGAAAAGTTGAAGATCAATTATTGTAAGTTGTATCCATCTAAAGTTATGGCTATGGCGAGACAACAACTGACTGAATTTCTTATCTATTCCTGATGACACAGCTGCCAAAGTAGTACTCTAATTCTCTTAATGAGTGAGAAAGCATCGTCAAGTCGTACTCTGCGATGGAAATTATTGAAGCTTTCACTCTTAATACGCAACTGTCATTCTGATCTAAAAGAAGAAAATATTCAGAATCTTTTAAAAAGTCTTTTTCTTAAATTATACTCTTTCTGTGTTTTGAAATGTTTGACACCATTCTAAATTTCTTTTTGTTTTGCACTTTTACTCTCAAATTTAAAATTGAAAATTATAACCCTTGTAACCTTTTTATTTCTCATATCAAATGCGCAATTATCTATCAATCCATCACAGCTTTCATTCTCCCGAGCTCTCAATTTAAACTCCCTTGTTGGTTATCCAAAGGAGGAACATATTTGGATATAATATTAAATCAAATGTCTATCATAGTCTATACCCTATCGCTGAGCTGATTGTAGCCTTTGGCTACCACGCGAGCTTGTAGCGATCAATAATCCCATTAGACTTGGACTTTCTCTTGTATAATCACTTGCAATTTAATACACAAATTTCAAAATAAAAAGTTAGCAGGAAAATAGGGGATGTAGCCCGCCGGAAAGTGTGCCTGTAGTTAATGCAGGATAAAGTATAGATATAAAAGAAATAGTTTCCTCTGGTAGTAAAGTAGTAGGAAAATTGATTTGGATTCGATATNGAATTAGCAAAAGATTACTACAATAAAAACAATTTACCTTTTGTTGCAGAATCGAATGCGCACGTAACAATCTTAATATAACCCTGCATTTAGTCTTGCACTTAATTCTACTCTTTGACGTGAAGTAAAAGCATCAATTAGCGTAAGAAGTGTGGGTAAGACCAATATATTAGGCCATTTTAAATGTTAAAGCATGTGGGCATATTTCTGCATTTTGGTAAAACATTTTATTCATATTTTACATTTACTTCTTAAAGATAGCGGTCCACACTTCAATTTGAACCCAAAATTAGAAAACTAGGATTATGTTGCTGGTAACAAGAAAGCTCATAAACTGAAACCAAAAAATATGGTCAGATAAATGCCTTGTTGATGGTGCTCTTCATTGGTTGGAGTATTAGAATGTACTACTCTCCTATGTAAACAATATTTAATAGCGATTGAGTATTTGTTAGTGGGGATCACTCTATTCAAAGTCGTAGCCAATTGTTCACAAGCAATAATTTGTTGCTCCCGAAAATACGACGTGGAAATCGAATTAAAAAACAATCTATTGCTTTCAGCTTACTGCAGCAATATAGTATAATAATTGTATTTTGTTAATAAAGCAAGGACCCCGCTGATCTTTACTCGTGGAATTAGAATTTGGAAAAAATGTTCACGATTTCAAAATATGGGACAAATCATTACATAAAAGTCATTTTTCTTTTTTTAATACGTAAAAATCATTCAACTTTGTATTCATTATTCAAAAGTTATTTCTCTTTTTTTTGTTACAATTTTTTTTTTTACTTTGTTCTGATTATCACAATAGTCATCTTAATCAGATTTTATAATATTTTTACATGAAAAGTCTATTATGCCATTGACATTATAAATCCTCTAATTTATATAATACCTTCTATATTATATACTATATAATATATTTTTACCTAGGTAATTTACTTATAATTAAAATAACTTCATATTATATTATTTATTATTTTTATAATATATCCATACATTTAAATTTTCCATGACACTTCATTTGTTTAATCATATTCAAACACGAACATAGTTTAAAATATAAAAATAACAACAAATATTTATTTTAATATTTATTTAAAATAATAAAAATAAATTTGTTTATTGAATAAGTTTTCTATATTCATTACAACTTTAAAAAGAGTCAAAAATATTTATGTTTAATATTAAAATTTTAAAGTTTTATCTGTTAATATTATTTATTTAGAATATTAATTCGGTGTCTGAGTGTTCTAAATGTGAGTTTTTATTTATTAGATTAACGAATATGACTTGATAATTCTGTGAGCTTTGATTTTATAATTTTTATTAAAAATATTTCAATAGGTATGATTAGGAATGTTAACTTGAGATTTGTTCACTGCAATGTTACTAACAAATTTAATAACACTACATATATATCTTGAAAATTAACGTTAAGGAAAATTAAATGTACAAATATATTATAAAAATAATAAATAAATTATTATAAAATTTATTTTAATTATGTAAAATACCTAAGTAAAAATATATTATATAGTATATAAAATAGAAGGTATTACATAAATAGGAGGATTTATTACATCAAGATCATAATAGACTTTTCAGGTGAAAGATTTATAAAATATGGTCAAAATGACTATTGTGATAACTAAAGCATAGTAAAATAATTTTGTGTAACAAAAGAAAGAAAAGTCCCTTTTGAGTAATGAACACAAAGTTGAATGATTTTCACGTAACAAAAAATAAATAAATTTGGGTAATGAACACAAAGCTGAATGACCACCCATAAAATTTACTCACTTTTCGTAGGTTTGAATCAAGTCCCCCTCTCAAGGTTAGCCTAAATATGTCACAATCTCATGTAGTTCTTTTTTTCTTTAGCTTCGGTACTGACAAATTTAGATTCGCACCGTGTAAAGTTTAATAAAGCGGGAAGCGTTTTCTACCACCATTTTTTTATTCCCAGAACTTAATCCTGTTTAAGGGTGGATGTATTCTATCCATGTGGTGGTGAGTCTCATGTAATAGACTCTAGCTAGTGACAAGCATAGAAGATGGCCTTTCATAGTAGCTTAAACGGCGTACGTGTTTACAGTTATAACCACGCTTCAAGTTGTTATTAATGTAAACCAATGAATTCTTGTGCAAAAATTGTCTGTTCAAAGCAGAAACAGCCAGTTTCGCTCCTAATCTAGTTACATATCAATCATAATCATATTTTCACAAGATATGATCTGTACCTTAGCAAGAAGAATTGGCGTTATTGTTTTTCATTTAATTTTATTTTTATGTCAAGGGCCCCGAAAAATTCCCTGGAGATAATGAAAACAAAAATCTATGTATCAAAAATTATAGGAACTAAACTGGCTGTTTACCCGAAAAACGGATAGAGTTGAATTTGTACGTAGTTCTAAGGATATGTGGTATAACTTAATACAAATCGTAAGGACAAATAGAAATATCAAATATAGATTGCAAAGAATGCAAAATAAACAAGGTTGGAAAGAAGATGATTTTTAGGACTAAGCAAAATGAATCAATTAATGAAGCCTAAAAGAATAATCTTTCAATATATGAGAATATGGTGCTTGAATTACAATGTAAGCAAAAAACAGTCCTCTACAGAAATGTAGCCATCCTCTTTATAGTGGAAGATCCTACTTTAGATATAATTAAAAATACATAGTGGAGAACCCATGATAAATCAGTTTTTCCCTAATTTCCGCCGAGATTCTCTCCCTTAGTGTGTTTGCAATGGCTCTTGTCTGTGAGCTCGATCTCGATCGGCCTCGATGCTGGTCGGTATTGCTTCTAGAGCTCGATATGGACTCGGGATCAGGTAATGATTCAGACTCGGTCCCGGTTGGCCTCCGCCCCTTAAGCTCAAAATCATCTCATCATAGTTCGATTCGGACCCGAGCTCGATAATGACTTCAAACTCCGTGTTTGACCTATACCTGAAATCTAAAACTTGTTTGTGCCATTTTCATAACCCATCTCGATATTACGAAGTCTTTCTTTGATCCGTTATGTTTCGACTTCGATCAATCGTACGAAGGCCGAAATCTATTTCGACCGTATATAAATAGTCCCCTCGTTTCTCGGGAAGGATGTGGTGAGAAACGATATGATTTCTCAATGGCTCGATTAGATTATAAGCTGACGTTCACATTGGGCTCGATCATGACGCACGTGATAGTTGTCCCGTCGATTTAGTTTTTCAAAGCATTTAATGCATGTCAGACGGTAGTCGGCCACAGCTGATATTGAACTGCCATTGCTTTAATCTATAAATAGCCCTTCCTTTTACCATTTACTACTTTTACCTCTTCAATCTTCTAAATTTCCCAAGTTCTTTTTCGTACCCTCTGAGTTTATTCGCAAATCTGTGATTCCTCTTTGCAAAAGCCCTTCTTTAAAATTACCAAATCTCTGTCACTTTCTTCTATTCTCAACCTATAAATTCGAAAATGGCGAAAACATCACAAACCATTCCTCAGAAAGAGAAAGCTTCATCTTCACAGTCTGCCACCGACGAAACACCGGTAGAGCCACGACCTGAGGAGTGCATTCCTGGGGCGTGTGTTTTTACCTCTGATTTTAAGGTCGATAAAGGCTCATCGGTTCCCGACTAGGGCTGTTCATTTGGATCGGATATCCGAAATCCGAATCGATCCGTTCAATTTCGGATTTTGGATTGGATCGGACTTTGGATTGTGTTTATTAAAATTTTAGATTTCGGATCAGATTAGAATTGGTATAATTTTAATATGATCCGATCTGATCCGAAATCCGAAATTATTAGGGCATGGATAAATTCTAAATTTTAATTCGGATAATTAGTACTTTCTTTACATTTTTCTCCAATTTATTATCTTTACAATTGATGGATTTAGCTCTATTGGCACCATAGTACTCTCATAATTGTATAAACATGAATTTTTCTTACTGTTCTGCCTCTTTTACAAAGAAAATATACATATGAGTTTGCAACTTTGAGGCATAATAATCCGATCCGAAATTCAAAATTCCGATCCGATCCAAACTTTAAAATCTGATCCGATCCGATATTAATTCGGATCGGATTCGGATTGTATTTTCTAGAATCCGAAATCTAAAATATGCTAAATCCGATCCGATCCGATCCATGCACAGCCCTATTCCCTACCGATGTG